CATCTTTAACTGAAAAATATACAGCGCCCAAGTATTGACTAGAGTGACCACCACGGCATTGTAGATATACTGTATGTGACACAGGTTTATTATATCAGTGAATAACTTTGTCGAAACGGAGTGGTACTGTGAACGATACCAAGACGTGCCCACAACTATAAACTTAACTGTGTAATTTGGCACGAGTCAAACCTAAACTCGATAGAATTGACTTAGACAGACACCACTTTCCAATTCGGAAAAAAACGACCTAATAATATTCGTTGAACCACAGTGTGGTATGATATATTCATGACAGATAAAACAGGAAATGAAATATGTGACATGTCGCGTTGTAATCAAGTCAATCATATCCCAACAGGTAGTGTTATGTATGACTATGTCGCGCATAACACTATGCATGCTTGGATATCACTGGTACATTTCACTCGCCGAGTTAAAGCAGGGGAGCCGTCACCTGCGCATGCGTCAGATGGTCATAGCGTGTCATTGTTTACAAACAAGCGTCTACCCATGAGCCTTTTAGTTTTTAGCATGTGTTGTTGTCGCCTGGGACTCAATTCCCGCGCGTGCGCGGGTGACGACCCTCCCGCTTTAAGATATATACATCCAAGACGATGATATGGGCTCTAGAACACTCACACGGAAACAATAGCAACCTTTGTTTTCTAGATTCAACTCACAGGTAAAAACTGTCACATGGTCTTTTTAGTAACTGCTGTATTACAGGGTCAATGCTTATGTGAAACTTGGAGTTGTTCTCTCCAATCATGGATTATATTATAGTACCTTCCATGAATAAAGTCTATTGTCATGTAAAATACTAAACTGTTGGTTCATGTCTGTGTCTACTTCAATACAATGCCGTTGTTTTTTTGTATATTATTACACAACACATTTAATAAATGTTAGGGTTTTTGTTTTATTTCACCCGTGAACCAAAATCACTAGTAGTCAAATGTGAGACAATTTATAGCGAGGTGTCGCCATCTGCGCATGCGCGGGAATTGAGTACCAAGCTAAAAAAGCAAAGGTTCATAGACGCTAAGGCCGTTTGCCGCAAGCGTAGGTGACGACTGCCTTCTTTGAATGATAAGTAAGGTGATATTAAAGTTTACCAATGCGATTTGTTCAGTATTATCATTTTCTATGCAGTGTGCGTAGAATTTAAAGCGTTACTCATTCAGTGACAGCACAGGTCAAAGTTACGCAGATGTCATGTATATTAATCTGTTGTTATATATTTGAGATGAGATCTCGCGGTGTTGTGGTGTATCGTTCATATGCACACTGGATTGTATGTTTGTTTATTACTTGTGGGCTCCCGTTGTTTTATGTGTATTCATCTCATCACTCGACTGTATACCAATACAGGGCGATAGATTATAATAGCTGTTCGGTGAACAAGACTCCTCTTAGTTGTTTCTGAAAATAGAAAAGAATTACGAGTAACGTAACATTTGTTCTTCTCAAACAACAGTGACAATCGATGGCACATTTGCCGGCCTGCTTCTCCAAGCCCGCCAAGTTGGCCAGACTACACCGATGGGAACGTGGTTTTACACCTCGTCGCCGTACATACAATTCGTGACTTGTATATCGTCTTCCGATTCCGCCACGCACTCGTCCATCGATTTGAAAACGAACCCAGTACTCACGTGGCTACCTCCCAATACAGCAATCGGTGACATTGAGTTTGTGTAAGTCATGTCCAGTGTTCTTATACATGTATTATTTACGAATTTCCCCACATGGGGTTCACACCGTATGTAGGAGAAATAATTGAATATGCAGGTTGGAGTGATGGAGGTAACAGCATGTGACGATTAGTGATGTCCTTCACACAAAGGACCCTCCAGTTTGTGCATCAATTTCCTCACGTTGAAAAGTGGACCCCCTACTTTTATCATATTAGTAACGTGGAATGTCACATATGTAAAAATAATGTTTGAGTGGAATTCTGCTAAAAAAACTTTGGCGGAGCAATAAGAATCTAATGGTCATTATCTAAAGGCGGCATGTGCGAGGTGACGGATGAAAGTTAATCACGTATGTTCTTCTTTCAGCGCCACCGTAGCACAGAGTTTCTCGTCATTCTGGATGAACGTGAAATCGCCGATATTATCTCCAATCTCGACAGGTACAGTATGAGTACAATGTGTGGGTGGTTCCATGTTATGCATGTACTTCTGAGACATGACTTTCTTTTGTTTTTATTCCTTTCACCGTATAACGGATGCAGAGAGTGCGCCCTCTAACAAGACTGGTTTTGTGGGAATTCGGTGAATCAAAATGTAATTCCCCCAAATCAAGTTCAGTCGGCTTGTTGATGCTGGGAAGGTCGGTATAGGTGATTTGAAGCAAAAAAAAAGTTGTGACTCTGATTTCTTTTGTATTTACACTTATTTTGTTTATAAAATATGAATTTCATTTTAAAAAATTAAAAATTCAATACTATAGTATAATGTGTTCTAAGATCAATTAGCATAAATTAGGAGCACATCGAGTTGCATCACAGCAAATCTCTGTGCGTCAGTGGCGCATAATTTCGGCTTAGAGGGCGCACTGACGGGACTTGTCGAGACGTGAAGTTATGTGGCGATACATTGGCTGACGTATCGTTTTTTTCTCTTTATAGCGATTGCTTCTTCTTTATAAAAAAAATCTTGTTATACAGATGTTTTTCTAAATTACCACGGTTTTTACTGTTACTCCGATTTGTATTAACGACAGTGTGCAGAAAACAGAAACCGAATTTCCTTATATTATATTATATTATTATTATTATTATTATTACAATGACCAGATGACATTCTTTTATTTACCGCATTCTAAGATTTGTAGTACTTATATTCTTCTAGACCCCTGTTCACCGAATCCGTGCCTGAACGGTGGGGTGTGTGATCTCTACGGTTCGGGATATTCGTGCACGTGCGACAGTGCGTGGGTGGGAGCAAACTGTGAAACAAGCACAACAGGTAAGTTTCACATGGTAGGCTCGTCTGTGAGCCATGCGAATGCAACTTTTTTACGGTATTTCAAATCAAATTTTTACCCACCATAAAATGATGTGATCAACACATATTTAAAGGTCGATTTTTAAATTGAATGACCTACTCAAAATGTCACGTGATACCGAAACTCACACATCGTCTATTTGGAAATACCTGTTTTTGGTTCTGATACTAAACGTGACCTCATCCTCATGAGAACTGTACATGACATTCTCGGCTGCTGTGCAGGAGGCAATACTTGATACAACGCACCGATCGTATCGACGACAATTGCGTTTACACGAGGCAACCCACCTTCTTTGGCTGCTTTAGGTTGTTGCCTGACTCATATTATACCACGAGTATTATACTCCCGATAACTCGTAAGGCAAGACATATGCTACTTGGAGCGTTGTCACTTCAATTGTCTCGGGTATTACCGGCCGTAAGGCTTGGCGTCTGTAACAGTGTAGTTTATTTCTCCGCAGCCATCTGTACGCCGAATCCTTGCCTAAATGGTGGTATCTGTACGGCACGTGACAGTACCTATGTATGCGGATGTCCCATTGGATATACCGGACAAAACTGTGGGACATATGTCGGTAAGTCACGCACGTTCTCTCCTATTATACGCCAGGGCCGAGCGTGCTTTTGTTTTTTATTACGTGACTTTTGGAACAAATTTAAATTATGGTATGCACGGTTGGCTGTATGAGCTATCGCCAAACTACGTATCCCTCCAGTTATAGCCTAGCAACGTCACTCTCCAGATGTAGTCTAGCAACGTCAATTTTCAGTTATATAGTCTAGCTACCACGCTCTCAATTAGCCTCGATTGAACTGAAACATTTTCAGGGATATACTCAAAGTTCAATATTCGCATACTAAACCCGATATTTTACGAGAACGCGTGTTCCGCCGTTTTTTTGAAGAGCGCAATGATAACGGGGTCCTGTCCGAGGATGAAACTCATCAGTCCCTTGACAACGCCTATTACATTGTTTTCTCTCGTGCGAACATTTAAAGCAGGGGAGTCGTCACCTGCGCATGTGTCAGATGACAATAGCGTGTCATTGTTTATAAACAAGCGTCTGCCCATAAGCCTTTGCGTTTTAAACGTTTGTTGTTATCATCGCCTGAGACTCAATTCCCGCGCGTGCGCAGGTGACGACCCTCCCGCTTTAAGTAATACTAACTTCTGTGATGTTATTGTTCAACAGGGACAGCCTGCCAGCCTAATCCATGCGAAAACGGTGGCACTTGTTACCAATTGGGGGATACGTTTCAGTGTTCCTGTTTTCCGGGCTTTGGTGGAACCACCTGCTCAGGTAGATATACTCTCCTACTATACGATGCATTGTCTTTGTTGACATTCACATTTACAGTACGAAATATAAATAACAAAGTTTTATTTGGTGGCAAGTATTACAATTACTGCTTTGTATGTATGTATCCAAAGATACAACTGAACACCCGGGCCAACCTTCTATTTTCGTAGTGATATAATCTAGCGAATGTTCGATAACTATTAACTTACGTGATTTTTTTTGTAGTCCACGATCCCTGCGAACCGAACCCTTGCGGCCATGGCGGCACGTGTACCGTCACACACAGCGGACTAGGATTCCAGTGCACATGTCACATCGGTTACGTCGGAGATACCTGCCTAGGTATGGCACACCGTTACCGCTAAACCTAACACTTTACAATTCTCGTATTCTAGGACACACGACAGCACCGTACTAATTGAACACCCTTCGTTTCTTTCAGTGCACCCCATCTTTTTACTAATATACTATTTGTCCAATATCAGTGACAGCCGTTATGCGGGCCGTAACTACCCGACCACGTTGTGCGTAGTGCTCATATCACATACTGTAAAGGGATTAATTATTCACTGTGTTTTAATTTTGCTTATTTCGCTGACTGGAAAATGCGCTAAATTAAAACCCAGCGAATATGTAAAATTTAGCATAGAACACATTATCTAAATGATAAAACCGTGAATTTAAAACCCACCGAATATGCCTGAAATGGTAAATCAGCGAAATTTAAACCCAGTGAAAATTAGTCATTTTACAGTACCTTTTTAGTAGGGCGTATTGCGTAGGCACAACTGTAAATTAAGAATGCACACTATCGTATAAATAATGCTAGATTGGTCATAATTAATGAGTGGTATTATTCAGTACAGTATAAAGTATAAATGCACTTGCGGTTTTGCCTTTCTTAACGCCATGCATTGATAATTGTTCTGAATAACACATCTCTCCAACGCACACAATTAAATCACAATTTACCTCCTCTGACGTAACTGTACTAAAACCATTGAAGTTAACTCGTAAACACTTCCATGTAGGTACTAAACTCTTTATACACCTTTTTTTGCCATTTACAAGCTCTGGTAACGAAGCTGGATATTCGAACCTCAGTAGACCATAACGTGCTCGTGTCCGAGATCTCGCTGAGAACGCCGTGAGAACGCTGGGACTTTCGTTTTTGCTTCAACGAGATCTTGGTGGCCATATGCATTCTATGGTCTATTTGCTCGAGTACCCAGAATTATTTCACCTCCCGTAATTCTCTGACCTAACCAGTGGTCACGTTTTCATATCTTGAATATCTGAAGAATAACGATAAGTTGTTTCCGATCTAGATACCCCATGTAACCCCAATCCGTGTCACAACAATGGCATATGCATGTCGACAGATGATTACTTTTCCTGTGATTGTCCACCTGGCTACAGTGGTATACTTTGCTCTTTCCGTGAGTTCATTTATTTGGGTCGTTATTTATCTGAGAAAGATTGATATGTTTTTAACTTGTTTTTTTTTCTTTATTATACATCGCTTACTAATAATGCATTGATTTATATACGTACTAATTGCATGGAATGTTCTAGTTCTAGTACGAACCTCGAAGAAATCAGTACGACGTCTCTATTGGAAATTAATCCTGGAACGTTGTTTACATATAATAATTTTACTTTAGAGAAGTATGTATTTGTGTGTATAACTACGTACACTGTATCGATACGATATCGATGTCTTCAAATGGTGAAATGACAACGACTGTAAACCAGAGTGTGTAAACTAAGCGTTGAAGTTCTATGTTTTTGTATCGCACTTGGAAAATGGTCCTACATAATCTGGTTTCATCTAAACTTTGTAACCACACTAAGAAAGAATGACAATGAAAATATGGGAAATGCTGAAACGATTTTTTTTAATCTCTCCCGTAATTTCTATTGATCAGCTTCTTACCCCTGTTTTTACGGGAATTCACTTCTATCATACCAACCACTATGATACCCCATTATGTGGCTGTTAGCTTAAAACTCGCGGCGCCATTCTTCAAGATAAACTTACCAAGTTGTACACTCGGACCTACTAATTATGATGATCTCTTTGTAAGGCTTCCCCGGTTCACTTTAACGATATTTTCTCTGTTTACAGTCGACCCGTGCAGTAGCAACCCTTGTCTGAACGGGGCAACTTGTTTCAATTCTCACAACAACCAAAATTACCTGTGTTTTTGTGCAGAAGGTTATGTAGGAGATACTTGCAATACCGGTAGGTATGGTTTAGAATTGCTAAGGTGGTACAAAATGCACATATTAAATCTGTTCGTTTGTTTATCCACTCTTTCCTCGATGTAGTCGTATGTGATTTATAAATGGAGAATATTTACTTTTTATTTTTTAGCACCATGTATGCCTAACCCCTGTATGTACGGCGGTACGTGTACTGTACAGGAACTGAGCTACCAATGTAGTTGCCCAACCGGTTACTCTGGAACAACCTGTCAAACCAGTAAGTACAAACTGTCAACAATTGAATCTGGCATGGACTGGTACACACATCGCTCTTTTTACTGCAAACGCACTGTCATGACAACGTAATATCTGTAAGCAAATCACATTCCTAGTGGCACGACAAGCTATACTATAAATACTGCAATTTTTAATGACTTCTTTACTATTTCCACTCTATTGAATATTGTTATTAGGTATGTCACCTCTTTAGATCACTGTTCACTCGTTGTTAAATGCATGCTGCATGATTATTGTTAAAACTCTTCACTTCAGCGTTGTGCACCCCGAACCCATGCCTCAATAATGGGACATGTTTTCTTATCAATGGGACCAGCTTTGAGTGTCTATGTCCTATCGAGTACGTAGGCGAACTTTGCAGCGAAGGTATAGTTGCTTGCGTTCTATGTCTTTTATTTTCAAACTGTTTTTTTTCATTGTCTCATATCACGCTTCTGTCGGGCTGTGTTCACCCTTTTCTGTTATTTAAATGAAAAACTTTGCATCATGTGTCTGTGCATCTGTCTTCATTTGTATTGAAGGATACATCTTTATGCATCTTTATATTTTCATTATGTGTCCATCTGGTGCAACGGACAGCCTTGTCCCAATGGAATATGTCTGATAAACGGCACGTCCTTCGCATAACAGACTTTGTTGCGAATGTGTTCTTTTCAACCGAGAATTTCGTCAGAGATACCTAATCTATTTCAGTCACCATTTTTATGATTCTGTAACATGTATTTCGATGTGTCTCTGTTACCCACTCTCTAGCCCCGTGTCAACCGAACCCGTGTCTAAATGGAGGCGCATGCTCGATACAAGCTGGTGGTACATTCCAATGTATATGTGTCCAGGGATACACGGGTACATTCTGTGAAACGACGCCCGTTAGTAAGTATTTTTTTTATTCATCAATGGTTTTTCAAGTCCACAGTGATTCCGTAATACTAGTACATCTTTTCAGTAAGTTACGCCCTCTAGCGACGAAGCGTTTCTGTGACGTCATGAGTGTAAGTTACTGTATGTCGTTCAAGCAAACAGATAACTATTTGGTTGGATAGTCGTTCGTTGTTTAAAACATAACACGTCTTGAGACACATATTTTATTGACGGACGACATACCGAGGCAATTTCGACTCTGTAACGCAAACATTCGCCACGAGAGGTCGCTATGGATGGAAACTGCGTGTTTTGCATGCAAATCTCACATGACAGAAATTTCCCTTCGTTTTCATTAACAATTGCAGCTGTGTAGCTGTGCCGAGCATATACTACTGTTCTCTCGTATGCTGCTAATCTGCTGTTGCTCGGAAGGACGTTGGTTGTTTAAAATGTTAGCGTCAGAGAGTCATTAACTTTCAACCTTCCGAGCCAATGCTGATGAACTCTTCATTCGAGCATGTTTTTGCCTCGGTCGATTAAATAAAAAATTTATTGTCATCACGTTTCCCTTCATTTTCAGGCTGTATCATTTCAAAAATGTTAAGCATTTCCTGCTGCGAACCATTCTACTGGATGTCGGACATCAATAACCCAACATATTTCTTTTTTTTTTTTTACTTCAGATCCTTGTAGTCCAAATCCATGCAATAATGGCGGAACATGTTATTTTAATGGCGGCGTTAATGGTTACTTCTGTTCCTGTCCTGCGGGTTATATTGGAACAAATTGTGAAACAGGTACAGTCAAATATTCGTTATATGCAAAACATAATAATAATAATAACTTCAGCTTTCAGTGCCTCAAAATTACCCCCCCCCCCCTATTACTCACTGTCAATGAGATAGCATGGCTCTATGTAGTTGACGCTACGTGTTTTTTTCCAGCTCCGTGTTCATCAAACCCATGTCAAAATTCGGGAACCTGCACTGTGGAGTTTAATGGTTATCGATGCACGTGTGTGGCTGGCTACTTTGGCACAAACTGTCAAACATGTAAGTTATAAGCCTAGCTTTTTGTCGTATAAATTGCAGATAAGATATTTGCAGCTTCTAAGATAATGATCGAAAACCTAATACTTCCAAGTACAGTGAAGAACATACACATCAAAAATATTTATATTTTATTGAATAACAGTATTCACTCATGTTTTCCCCCACAGCTCCGTGTACTCCAAATAACTGTCAAAATGGTGGCACATGCCGCGTGACTCCCACGGGAACATATTTATGCGAGTGCGCAGAAGGTTACCTTGGAGACCATTGCGAAAATTTTAGTAAGTGTCTCACATTTCTTCAATGTCGTTTCATTCACCATGAACCAGGAAGCCATTTTTAAACATGGCACCCTCTATCACGTACCAAGCAACCTGTCGTTTAATTGCGTAAAACACTACAAAATATTCCAAAAATGTTTATGGAAGTGTATCTATTGTTTAAATCGTTTATTTGAAGAACAGACTACTAACTTTAGAACTGCGTCTGCAACGTTATATTGTCATTCATAGGTCCATGCATTCCGAATCCTTGCAATGGAGGCACGTGTTATGTGAATCTCGACACGTTCTACTGTGTGTGTCCTACGGGGTACGTGGGACTGACGTGTGAAACAGGTAATCGCTGTAATATTCCCTAAACCTACATTATATTCAGTCTTCATCTATACCTAATCTCTGACATTAGTGTATATGTTATGTTTATAAACCTTCACTTCACACTCGATAAAAGGTGTAGTTATTTTTTTTTCTTTAAGCAAATTTAGCGTAGGTATTGCATAGGCACTATTGTAAAATAAATTGTGTTCATTAAATTGTGTGCACACTGATTTGGGTAAATAAATATACCCTGCATGTTTCTCACGTAATAATTCACTGTCGCACGTTGCATGCTTAATGTCAAAACTTTTCACTTCAGCGCCGTGCATCCCAAACCCGTGCTTCAATAACGGGACATGTGCCCTTGCTGGTTGGACCAGTTTTGATTGCACCTGTCTATTTGGGTACGCAGGCGAACTCTGTAGCGAAGGTATGCTTCCTTGTATATAGACTGTGTCAGTTTCTTGCAGTATATTGAGTCCACTTCGTGTATACTAACTGCTAGTTCTCGTACATATTATAGTATAAATGATTTAGTATGCACTTATCTTTAGTAAATGAATTTAGTCGGCATGCAACTTATGTTAACTTAAAATGCCGTTCACTGTACTGTCACATGATGCACATGCTTAATGTTAAACTTTGCACTTTAGCTCTATGTGCACCAAACCCCTGTCTCAATAATGGAATCTGTGTAGTAGACGGCACGTCCTTCACATGTTATTGTGCTGCTGGCTACGCTGGCTACTTCTGTAGCGAAGGTATTCCTTATCTTCTTACCTATTATAAAGTTAACCTTACGTTTTAAATGTTAATTTTTTTATATACTTTCCTTCTAGTAAACGGGTCGTTGTTTCCTGCCCCCCACACTTTCCTCATTGTATTGTTTCGTTGCATTTTGTTTTTTGTTCTCCAGCTCTGTGCATGCCTAACCCGTGTGTCAACGGCGGTACTTGTACACCATCGGGGGGTACTTACCAATGTACTTGTCTGCCAGGCTACACTGGATTCGATTGTTCTAGTCAAAGTAAGAGTAATTTCATAATTATCTACCATTATTTCTAACCCCTATGATATCTCTCAAATGAACTTCACAGGAATTTGCGATCCTAATCCGTGCGAGAATGGCGGTGTCTGTATCTCAACTGAAAACTCATACTCGTGTATGTGCCAAAGTCAGTACGTTGGCATACGATGCGAAACAGGTAGAATCCGGTTTATATGGAATGTTGGCATGAATATCAAACCATCTTCAACTGCGCATGGCGTTAATAAGTTGCGTGTAACTTAGAGCCGAAAAGGCAAAGCATGGTTAATGCATTGTCACTTTGCATGATACCTACATATAGACTTAAGTAAATAGTTTGTTTATTATTTGTAATTGTATTAAGGTAGTAGTTTTCAGTTTTGTAGCTGCAGTATACAATCACGGAATAATTGGCATGGGAAAATTACTTGTAATGGATTCTTGTCCATGTTTTTTGTTTTTGTTTCTTTAAAAAGTGAAAGCACATGAATAGTACTTCTTTAGAAACGCATTTCCACCATTGTCACCAGCCTGGGTAAATTTCAAGTTCGTCTAAATCACTCTTTGACGACAAATAATGGTATAAAATTAATACATTCCGCATTTGAATGCAAAACAGAACATACATTACACTACATCCAAGAAAAAACTTGATATAAGATGAAGAGATCTATAAATTAATATTTATAAATAATGGTGATCGTTGATTAGGCAATCTGTATAATTAAACTAGCTACATCATTAACAGTATGGACTAGTAGACAACTAGCTTTGTAATTCTACACATTAACCTGAATGAAATACGTTGACAGAATATATTTTTTTTTTGCAAATTCAGTTCATAGTAACTGTGCACTCGTACATCGATTAGGCACATACATATATTGAAGGCAGCAATGCACGTTTTATTTTTTTTATTTCAGCTGCATGTTCTTCTGACCCTTGCCAAAACGCTGGTATATGTATCGACATTGGCTCAGACATGTCCACATATCAATGTATATGTGTCGATGGATACTGGGGACTGGATTGCTCCCAATCTAGTAAGATTCGCATCCCAACTCGACTACTTAAATTGCACTTCCTGTATGGCTGTCCAACACACTTAATTTGAATATTTACCGTATTTTTGGGTATTTTTGCGTATTTAAGTATTTATCAAATCCTCGCCAATATATAGTATAAATAATAGACCGCGGTAAAATGAATCTTATGTGATAACCAAAATAATTTTTGTTTTATAAAATTTGTATAATTTGTTTGTAATAATATTCGAAACACGTAACGATAATAGAAGCGGTTGTTTACAAAATACATTTTTCTATGGTAAATAGGTTGTTCCACCAATCCGTGCATGAATGGCGGTACTTGCTTTTTAGTAACTAATTCGTACTTATGTATGTGTAGCGGCGGTTACTTTGGAATCAACTGTACCGATACCAGTAAGAAAATGTTTATTCTACAAATTACTAACATCCGTTTTCGTTTTTTTTATGTCGCTGAAATATTAGTTCACTGTAAAATGCGAGTAGAAGACTTCAAATCATTACCTGCTTTAGATATCGTTATAACTAAGTGAATAGTACATTCATATGCACCATGGCAGAACATTTTAACTACATACATATGTAATAAGACAGAAAATGGCAAATGACCAATGAATTCCTAGAGCAAAGCCCTAAATTAATAACAAGCAACGTATTGTGTTCACATCTCTCTAGGTTGCTCTTCCAATCCCTGCCAGAACGGTGGTTCTTGTGCCGCGGACGCTTCTGGGTACACGTGTTTTTGTACTGTCGGTTACACAGGATTGGACTGCAGTGAACCGAGTAAGACCCCCTCTCCCACCCATTACAGAGCAATCTGCCGAGCAATTGTCTAACGCGGTCTCGTCATGCATGAGCTTTTGGTGAGGGATAACGCTTTTGCATGGCCTACTCATACATCATTACATTATAGCGCATGCGTTTAACGTGAAACTCGCTCTCATGATACTAACAATAAAGCCTCCCTGCAGCTCCGTGTTTACCCAGTCCGTGTCTCAACGGCGGCACGTGTTATATCTACGGGACTATGTATAACTGCGCATGTCCCGAAGGCTATTCTGGAACCACGTGCGAAAAAAGTAAGACTATAGCATATTAATATACGTTTTGTTTACAGGTGGCTCATTAACATATGGTATTACAAATGCAATAATACTGATAATGTCACGCGCGTATGTAAATGTTCTATTAAATGCATTTGTCTAATAATAATATGTTAAAATTGTGTATATGTTAACATTGTACGTCGAATTGTTAGAATGGCTTCAGCTGGCTTCATTCATTCATTCATTCATTTGTCCATTCACCCATCCATCCATCCGATTCAGACATGCAATTGAATTTAAAAATTGATCTAATGTTAAACTCGCATTTTCACTTATGTATAGTATTACTAATCACTCGATTGGAGCCTACTCGTGTGTCTTTGATTTTTAACATGGTTTTGTTTTCAATATTATGAAGAATCATAGCAATGGTTTGTGTTTGGATAACTATTATGCCAATAGTGATCGAGGCGTTTTCATATTCAAATTGACTTAATTGATTCCACCATTCGCGCCGTGAATCTATCATAATATGTATGTATTAAACACTTGCTTCGAAATTTACAGCTCCGTGTCAACCGAATCCTTGTAGTAATGGCGGTACATGTACGATCAGTGGGAGCAACTTCATCTGCCAGTGCAACGTGGGATATATAGGGACCACCTGCAATACGGGTAAGAAGTACATCATTTGCTTCATCATTAATGGGCATATGTTTTTTTTTGTAAAATGCACTGTTACAATGTTCCTTCAATAGCTTTAAAACTGTTCAGATGCCCGATGTAAGTAATGTTATTGTATGTGATTCAGAAAGTTACCATAATCTAAATAACATTTACGTCACCAGAGGGCGCACATTTATGCACGAGTTAATGTGCCTGGTGCGTGCTTGACGAAGCCAGGACTTACATTAACTGCTCATATATTTGTTATGTAGCTCCATGTCTATCGAATCCGTGTCAAAATGGAGGCGCCTGTAGCGTGAGTAGTAATGGATTCACGTGCACCTGCCCCGAGGGATATGCTGGCATTTACTGTGAAACTAGAGGTGAGACGATAGTTTGTTTGGCAACTTTAAAACCTCAGAAATAGACTTTCTTCATTTCAGTGGAAGACTTATGAAATGTACTGGTATCCTTCGTTTAGTGGCTGTGATTATCGCCAACTTTGTGCCATTCATAGAAATGTGTACTAAATTAAATTGTCATTTTGTGTAACCACCTGATAAGTTATTTTAGAATATCAATATTTTCACGAAAATATCTGTACAGTCACGTATTGTGAACAATTTAGATTTGAAACTCATCTTGTGCGTTTAAATTTAGGCATCTGAAAAATACTAAACTTAACAGTTTGGGAGGGGGAAGGTTTCATCTTCCATCCAATTGCATACAGCATACTACTATCAGGGGTAAATTCTTCTCCTCGGGGTTCTCCACACTTGTAAGGGGGGAATCTCGTCTCGTCTCTATGTCTCGTCCCCTTGAGGTACGGGATCGGGAAAGTCACTTAAGCTTTACAGTCAAATAAGACACAAACAGCGAAATACGTTTCAACTCTCGTCTTAGCCGATCAGTCGAGCACTCTATAAGACACAGCGCCCTGGGGAAAAATCCCCAAGACTATCGCCAGGCTGACCCAAGACTAGCCCAAGACTGGACTGCCTCAAGGCTCGCCCCAAGTCTCTCCAGGACTGGACTTAGACTGCGTCTATCGTGGAGTACTCGCCAAGAACAACTCAAACTCTCTTTATTCATTTTCAAAACACTAACCAATTACAAAACAGTGAAAAGACTCTAGGGCGTAACCTTCAATCATAAAGCCAATCACACTAAGTACTGAATACGTCATATCTTTTGATTAATCGTTCACTACATTAATAATTACGAATACCAACTGTCAGAATTAGTAGTCAGAATAGCGACGGTTATCTCGTAATTAGTTCCAAATCACTGAGCCAAGTTCCGTCCAAAACTTCAAATAAGCCTAAACGATGACAGACATAACACAGCAATTCGCTAATAATCAGCTAATTAAGTCGATTAACAGATACGCGAAAACAAATTCATGACACTACCAACTCCCAGCTGGCAGTCCAAGATATGTATTACTATAACAAATCCTCACCCAAAGGATCTGGTGGCAGGTATCATTTGAATACATGACAAAGGGTAGTTAGTTTTCAAATTTAATATTTCTAATGCTAATATTTAATATTTGTTAACATTAACAATTAACACAATTTCTCCACACCAACCTGAAGCAATATCGAGATAGTTTTTAGGTCTTATATTTACGTTCTCACGTTATATCACACCATTGTAGCGTATCTTAAGTGCCCATCCGTTAAGTGTCTATACTATTTGCTTGCAGTTACTTGCTCAGCTGGTTATTGTTATAACGGTGGAACGTGCTCCCTCACAACGAACGGAGCCTACTTGTGTAGTTGTCTTTCTGGATTTAGCGGAGACCGTTGCGACATAGGTGAGCCTATATTTAGCTTAATGTACATTAGGCCTTGTTCTAATTAAAATGAATCAGCACTGCCGGTCAAATAACGAATTAGATTTGTGAAAAACAGTTTTTTGAATTTATTTTTCAGTTGACCCATGTATGAGCAATCCCTGTATTAACGGAGCTACTTGTACTTCACTCAATAACGTGCTTTCCTGTCAGTGTGTACTCGGATTCAGAGGACCGTTATGTGAGCTAGGTAAGTATGATCTCTTGTGATTTAGACAGGATAAGATGAGAATTATTTATATAATGGTTCGTGCTTTAACAGCAAATTTCCTTTTGATTTCACAGTCGACTACTGCGCAAGTGGACCATGCTTGAATGATGGAACTTGCTCCAATAGTGGAAGTTCATATTTCTGTTCTTGTATCTCCGGTTTCTATGGTGAAACATGCAGTTTAGGTAAGTTCAGTGTATATGGAAACAAAAGTTAGATTTGTACTATTATTCACAGTCAGTACGAATTACCAATGTGATTTGTTTCTCTATGCATTGTATTATGGGTTATTATGGGTATGACGCAACATGTAACTATGGCATACAAGGCAGACCTAATCAACGCGACATGAGTTGATAGGAGTGACTTCATACGATTTATTCGCATGATATGAAAATGCAACAAAATAATGGTCAGGCTTATTGGGACACCAATGAAATACAAACGAGTTTGAATATAAAAAATATATATATTTACAATAAATTGTACATGGCTCAATCCCACCCACAACCCGTACATTGACCCAACATACCCAATGATTGGTGGATTACATCGCGCCGACCAGTGTCTATTATGTGACGTCTTTTCCTTCGTGTTGCAATCGTTTGACAAAGAGTGGTATCGTTGCGTATAAGTGGTGTCACGCCCTCCTATAGCATGACACATAAGACATGATGTATGAAACGGAGTGTCGGCTATTGTGTACTTGATTTGGAGATGAACGTATTATTGGCTGTGTGATACGCATTACCTAACACAGCCGAGTGTCGGTGTTGTCACAAAACTGATGTCTTTTATATTATTAATCCCATTATAGTTTTCCCGTGTGACAACGACCCATGTCAAAATGGCGGCACATGTTACACTGCGTCTGAGAATGGAAACCTGATTGCGAGATGTCTATGTGCAAATGGATATATAGGCGACTATTGTGAAACAAGTAAGTGATGATCACAATCAACTTAGCGGCCATGCTGGAACTGTTCCCTTTTAAATAAATCAATAAGGACAGAAAACACTTGCTTTTTCATTGATTACTGTAAAATGACTAATTTTCACTGGGTTTAAATTTCACTGATTTACCATTTCAGGCATATTCAGTGGGTTTTAAATTCACGGTTTCGTCATTTAGATAATGTGTTCTATGCTAAATTTTACATATTCACTGTGTTTTAATTTAGCGCATTTATCCAGTCAGCGAAATAAGCTAAATTAAAACCCAGTGAATAATTACCCCCTTTACAGTATGTAAAGGCGCTTATCAATTACCGCGCAACGCATCACAATTACCGCCAACAGTAAATAACGCCTGAGATAGTTGGCTACTAATGCTGTCCACAAAACACAGTCTGAATGTTGATTTCTCGAGATATTTATCATTGGTTCCTATGTTAAAATGGTTACTTATAAGTACTTATAATTGACAAGACTTTAAAAGATGGAATACTCGTCCTTTATGGTGCGTGTTCATAGTAGTAAGCACATACACAAATTAGTCGCGTGTTGTACATGTACGCAACGCTATTTTGTCCGTTGTTACACCTGTGTGTGTTACATTAGAAATTGAAAGCACGAGCGTTGAATATTAAGGGGTGCTTTATTACTCGTCTGTGCGACAGAGCGTGACAGAAGTATTTGTCAGAGCGTGACAGCAGTATTTATCTTATAATCTGCAAATTTGTCTTAGATTCTGCTAAGCGCCATCTGTGGCGACTTTTGGGTGTGAGTATTATGCACGTGATCTCATTTCCAAATGGCAACCAAACTCAGACGTAACAAAGACACAACCTAGAAGACGCATGATTTGAAGAAAAAAAAATGTTCAAATCTAGGAAACGAAAAGTTAATTACTGAAAAATCGGAATGTTTTGAAGAATCTTGCTTTTTCCCATGTTTGTATAACGACTCTATAGACAACTTTTCCCGAAGTAGCAAGAGTGGGGTGCAAAAATACTCCTGCATTGTCAGCATTTTATCTTTGTGACGTTGATTGGTACACTCAGAAGCACAATATCACGCGTGCAAATTTACGTTACACCCAAAACGACATGCGCGCGCACGTGAAACACCGTATCTCCGACTTTCAGGAAAGTCGTCTACTAGTATCCCACCAGTCATTACTCCGCACACGCTTCCACACTGATCGGGTCGCTGTAGTAAAGCGTACAGCAACTCCAATCGTAGATAAAATAAATTTAATTCACTGTCTAAAACATGCATCAATTAAACTCTGTATTCTGTTACGCCGTTGTATACTGTTTCTGTGCATCCAAATAAGTTGGTCCGTCTTCCCTCGCGTTCCTGTGCACGTCGCCGCTTCAAAATTAGAACGAAACATGTCAGCCGTAGAAATTTTGCGTTCGTAAATAGCGGCTTAACAATGATCACCGACTGATGACGCCCCTTAGCCCATGCTAAGGACTGGCCGTCCCAGTGCGTTGTATAGCCGAAATGCCAATATGTGAGATAAGCCTAAATCAGCTTAAATCTTTGCCCGTACTTCGTGTAGCATGAACGCTACTTACTAGTATATCACCATTATCATCACAGGTTACGATGCATGTAGTAATCGGCCATGTTTAAATAATGGCGACTGCATTGTTGTTACGTCGTCACCAGGCTTCCAATGCATTTGTAAAGACTACTTCACGGGAGCCCTGTGCGATGTCGGTAAGTAAATGGATTACTGTATTAACAATACACTTTTACAGTATTTTAATGTGGACGGTGTCCCACAACTGTAATGAGCCATTGAATCGGGAACGCCATTGCTTACACCATGGTCTTCCCTTGAGTCGTTTGTGTAATTCTACATTGAATTAGAACTTTACGTAGATACCACTATTTCTTAACTGTTTTCAATTAATGATGCTATTATTTTTTTTTTCGAACAAAGCGCCACCTTGTTACAGTAATCCATGCCAGAACGGGGCTACATGCGTGAATGTGGATGACAAATTCGTCTGTGCCTGCGTCACACCGTTCAGTGGGACACTGTGCGAAACCGGTAAGCGTGCACAATATTTACTTCCGGGATTATATCCGATTATTAATATGTTGATTATTCAATAGATATTTGCATCTATGCTCGATACATGATGTTTACTTTTTAAATGTTTCATGCATATATGTATATTGCGTTGCGTAACTATTCAAAACATAACCCAGGTTGTACATTTTGTTACTTGATACAGGAAATGCATGCAGCAGCATCCCGTGCAAGAACGGAGCTACGTGCGCGAACTATCTTAGCGACGATTACACGTGTAGTTGTTCGAGTGGATGGGCGGGAAAAGATTGCAATACACGTAAGTCATGATAAAGCAACATTCAGAAGGAATTGACATGGTACCATTAACTGTATATATCGATGCAAATACACATCTGGGACGATAATCAGACCCACAGTGGTGCATTGTCCTCTAAGATTCGTAGAAGATGTATTCACATGAGACTGGGCTTTAAAACGCTGACCTTTTTTATTCACAGCTACTACGTTCTGTGTGAACAACCCTTGCCAGAATGGAGGTAACTGTATCGATATCGCTGGCGGATTTCAGTGTGATTGCACTGATGAATGGAGAGGTCAATATTGCGAACTCCGTAAGTACAAGCTGTCCATATAATCTCAGAAAAACAAACGCATATTCATCAAATAAAGGCATTTTCCCACTAATTTTGACAAGACAATTCAGAAATTTATATTAAGATTGATTCATAACGAAATTTATTTCCTATTTCATAATTACTGATTACACAAGGATTTCACAGAAAAAAGATAATTTGCAATATTCTCTATATTTTTGCCTTTTATTTGTCTTGAAATATGACTGAAAGAAGCTGAATGAAATTACAAACTATGTAGTGTGTTCAACAACTCATGTATGAACAATAACTTTAATAAATATGATTTTACTGCATTTGTTCCGCAAAAAAAACAACGAAATCATTTCACAAGCGAAAACAGAAAGTCTGTTTATCACAGTGTAATACGCTATTAAAAACAACCCACACAATTACACTTACCATAACGCTAGAGGGAAATTGATATACCGAAAATACGATTTCTGTTTTATCAAGGCGTTGACCCATGTGATAGTGGCCCATGTGAGAACAGCGGTACTTGTGTCAGCGGTAACACATACTATACATGCCAATGTATGATCGGATTTACTGGGGACAATTGCGAAGAAGGTATGTACTCATTCGTCCGAATAACCACGGACAACGTTACTTGGTAAACATAACCGAGATACGTCATGGCAACTGAATCAACTTCCACTTAGTATATATACCATGCATTTTATTGTGCAATAAATTGTTATTACATCAACACACTGTTGTAATTTTGTCTTTTCAGTCGTCAACGGCTGTGCGGACAATCCCTGTGTAAATGGACAGTGTAGTAATGTTGGCACCGGTTATCTTTGCCAGTGTAATAGTGGATGGACAGGTGCCAATTGTGACACAGGTAAGTTGCATTTAATACATATTTAATGGTTTTAGGTTTGATAACGCGAATACATAAAGGCTTAATACATGTTATCTATGCTAATTAAAATCATGCTCGTCTTTTCACGTAAGCAGTTACCGTAAATAGGTAACATCGTATATATTCACGTTATTGTGAAAAGTGTTTTTGATGTTTCGAAACCTTTCACTTAGGTAACCGGGATTCGATTGTTCTCCACGTTGGACTCACAAAAAAAACACATAAGCTCAATTCGTGTCACCTTCGATTCTCCGACTGACTCGTGCTCTCCTCCCGAGACAGCTTCAAATCACTTTATTAACTTGTCAACCATTAGCCAATTACAATAGTGTATAAGAGACTTTGAGGCTTTGCCTCCAAACAAACAGCCAATCACACGAAAGTTTTACACATCATAATACAATTGATTAATCGTCACTATATTAGGAAAATCACTATCATAATGTCAACGTTAGTTTATTTTTATGGGTGCTAATAGTCTTGCAATAACATTCCACAGTTGACATTAATATACATCATTAGTTCTGGACTACGACCAAGGTACCGCATAAGCTTGAAATCGCAAGCTCATGAGAACGTGTCGACTGATCTCAACCAGTCCTGTCATCTGGCCTCACCATTTAACCTTTATCAGTAGATGTCATGTCAACCACCATTAAGCCGAAATATAAATCATGATATTATAATGTTGTTTTATAGTGCCACCAATTTTTACTTCTGGTAGGAATTATCGGTCTCAAATAACTATTTATTATTCTTTGTTTACATATTGTAAACTTGTTTATTATATCTTGCCTACGTTTCCTGATTTAACTGTTTATTGAAATTATATTCTACCAACCCTTATCCCCATTTGCCATGATACAGATATCAACGAATGTGCAAGTTCCCCGTGTTTGCACGGTGGCACGTGCAACGATGGCGTCAATGAATTCCAGTGCGTTTGTCAGGATGGATACAGCGGTACAACGTGTGCAATTGGTAAGTAAATGTTGAAAAAATTAACGTAACACGACTTTGTTTTCTATGTATATTTTATTACTTATTCAGGTTACACGAGTATTTGCATAACAATTATTAAAACGAATATTCCTGTTTCTGACCGCTGGTATATACGTGTTCTAAAATGCCTAGTAAAATATTCAAGTTTATATTTCAAACATTAATTTAATTATTTTTTTTATTCCATAATTTCGATCAACTGAGGAATTTCTCAAAAAGACAAAACATATATTTTAACAAATGCACACCAGCAGAATTATGGCAGATCTGTCATCTACGATTGAAGATTATGCAAAATCCATCAAAGCATTCCACAAAAACGGCAGGTAGAACGTATAAACCATTTACCTCTTTTGCATGATACAGATATCAACGAATGTGCAAGTTCCCCGTGTTTGCACGGTGGTACGTGCAACGATGGCGTCAATGAATTCCAGTGCGTTTGTCAGGATGGATACAGCGGTTCAACTTGTGCAATTGGTAGGTTAATTGCGACCCTGGAAGTGGTAATTGTAATGTAAAACACAATAAGTTGTTGCAAGACCTATTAAAACTCCGTTTCTACAAAGTATTAACATATATAACCAATATCGCAATATCAATTATTAAAAAAACTCACTAATAGGGCCTGAATAGAGCTGTATCAAGAGATTATTTCTGTAAAAAAAATTTAACCTGGCGCAATTCCCACATTATTGTGTTTTGCATAGGATATGGTAAATATATCTTGGTTGAAAAGCAGTTTGTAATTATCAAGTTTTCTAGAACAAATTTCAATTTTAAGTTGGGTATATTAAGTTGATGTTTATTAACTCTTTGATAATTTATTCAATTCTTCTACAAAATACTGAAATCCACGGTTTCGTAAATATAAGCAAGAAGAGAAACATTTTTTTTAGAATTGATGAATTCCAATTGATCTAATAAAGCAGTACTGAGGGAGCATCTTTTTTGTAAACAAAAAATATTGGTTACATCTAACTAAACTGCCAAAATCCAAGATTGATTAACATGTATATATATATTGACGTACAACATTGGAAACTGTAATATACATGGACAACAAAAATGAAATGTATTATATTTTATTGTAATTTATATATTAATAGCTAGGGGGTTGGATGAAGTAATTTTGTGTGTGTGATGAAATTCGGACACATCGGACAAAATGTCAAACGTCGATGTGACAGTATGCGTTGTTTAGTTGAGTATATAACTAAAAAAACAACAACACAGGATTTAACAATCTGGATGTATACACATGCTCTACATGTAACTTGAAAAACTTGGTTTTCAAGAAAAAAATATGTCAAGGTCATAGTATGTGTTGTGGGTATGAATGATCGCAATATAACTCCAAACGACATTCAAATAAGTCATCCATTTTACATTAGATACCGACGAGTGCTCAAGTTACCCATGTTTGAATGGTGGGAGGTGTATTGACGAAGTTAACGGATATCGTTGTGATTGTCCTTCTGGATATAGTGGGACCCACTGTGTTTATGGTATGCCTATTAAATGGCGGTCTCAGAATTAATATTAACACCACTTTGCGCCTGCAATACACGAAATATAGAATAAAATGTATTCCATGTAAATTGCAATTCTTAAGGTAGAAGCCTAGTTGTAATATTTGACAAACATTGGTCATAAATCCATGACAATGTTCATTATTTTATTATGTGCAATCATGAAGCTAATGTCCTACGGTACAATGAAATCGCATTATTACAGTTAAGCTTTTTGAGAAACGTGTCCTAATATTTCTTGAAAATTGGCATTTTAGAACAATATTAAGAAAAATTGCAATTTTTGACACTTTTTAAACCCCAGATTTTTTAAATAATTCAGAAAAACAAAAAGTACCCCATCATTAACAATATATGATTTTTTCAGCCTATGTCACAAGGGTAGATTTTTTGATATTGCATAAAATCTCTGCCATAGGAATCTGTGGTAAAAGTGTTATAATAGTGTCAAAGTGGCAACTTCCCACTAAAATACAACTATCAATTTCTCGAAAAAGGCTGGTGATCCACAACTTGTTTTAGGCCAATATAATTATTTTGTCTTGGAGTACAGTTAATTGCAAAATGAATAAATTTTGAATATTTTAATTTATGAGTAGGGGTCTACCTTAAGTATTGTTTAAATTGAAAACATGCTCTATGCACTATATCTGACAATTGTACTTAAACCTGATTTACACAATCTAAATTCTAAGCACTTCCTTTAGTTACAGTATGATAATAATGTATAGATCTCAAACATTCTGTAATACAAGAGGTAGAGCTAGACATTACCATTTGGTAAATGGTGATTTCTAAATAATGTGTAACTTTATTTTAGTATTGATAACTCAGACATGCACTCTTAGTTTCACACGTTATTTGAAAACAGCGCCACAATTTTGAGAAGCAATGCTCTGTAATTTATGTATCGTACATAGGAGGCGAATGTGCAGTGAACCCATGCCAGAACGGCGGCGTATGCAGTGTCGGCCAAGACAACTCCCCCATATGCAACTGTCCAGATCAATTCACCGGTACTTTTTGTGACGAAAGTAAGAACAACCACGTTCATTCTTGTAATTTTAACAGTGGTTGTTCACTGATTATCGCCGTGTTGTCCTGACGATGTAGGAGCGTCCGGGATTTTCTAAAATGTACTAACCCGTTTTCATTACTATACTAACTTGCATTTAATATTGCAGCACTGTTTCTGCTCAGTGTTTTTTTGCAGGAACTAAAATGCTTACCGTTTTTGTTAGCGCATAATTCCTACTTAACATATTTGAAAGACAATTGCAGAATGTTATATCAACTAACCAATATTTCAATGTTCTTATAGGAGTGGATCCATGCGATTCCAACCCTTGTTTGAACGCCGGACAGTGTTCCGCGCTTACGGCTGGGTACTTCTGTACGTGCACTGCTCTATGGACCGGGGATCATTGTCAAACAGGTAATACCATACCATAACTTTAGTGTATTTTCCCCCAACTGAAACAAAGATTAGTGGTAAACTGGCAATATCATGAATGAGTTATTACCAGTGTTTACTCGGCGATGTTTAAGGTGGCTGATTTATATATTTCATCGCGGTGTCTTTCTTACCAATTCTTAATGTTTTTCTAGCAAACCCCTGTGGCAGCACTCCGTGTCTAAATAACGGGCAGTGTGTTAATACAGCAAACCAAGGTAGTGGCTACCTATGTTCGTGTTCGGACGGATTCCAAGGACCGAACTGTGAAGACGGTAAGCACGTTTTTTTTCACATATATCTGTATCATTTTCTTCAATATTTCACTCATATTTGAAAGACTTGTTTCGAAATTTGTTCAGGGAAGTAGGTAGTATCACTCGACCACTTTCAAAATAGTACATTTTGTTTTTTTGAAATTAAATCATTGGTTCTACAGAGATTACGGCTAATTGTCCAGACTCATTGAACGATGTTTGTGAGAATGGTGGAGTGTGTTTCATGAACGACCTGAATACCCTCGGGTATGTTTGCACATGTCTGTCTGGCTTCTACGGTGTCAACTGTGAGATTGGTAAGTATATATTTTAATATTATTGTAATTGAATGAATTAATAAATGAATGTTTTTAGGCACACACCATATCCACGAATTTAAATATATCAATGAAGAAACCAATTGCATCAAAATGTTATATATATGAGAGAGCCTGGAATAAGTACACGCATTGATGTCATGAATTTCAAGAGTGCATTTATATATGCGCTTTATATTGTATAGTATGTTATACCAGAGGTACATTACTTGGGGTTTGCAACTACGGTGACATGATACCAAGATCCCGTCACAATCTCGCTCTCGCATAAGCGTTCCAACTCAGAAAAATGCAAATGCGCGTGCCCAAGGTAACTAGGATACTGGGATGTCCAGGTGGATCAAAATAGCTGCCCACGTTATAACGGATTACGAGAACTATATTTTCAGTACATTTTGATGTATTCCTTTTTTCACTATGATAGTGGCAAGAAAAGTTTTATTTTTTCATTACAAACCTTGAACATTGATATATGTCATGTCAGAAGGTCGTAGCCTCAGTCTTGCTATCAACGAGAAGAGACTTGAATGGGATCTTGACATGATGTCACCATACAGTACTATGCGAGTTGCAAACCCCAAGTAATGTACCTCTGATTATACTAATATAACATTATTTACTACAAACTATGGTGACCTCTGATTTCTATGTCTAGATTCCGGTTGGTGTGTTGACAATGGACCATGCATAAACGGAGATTGCAGGCGAACCAGTGGCGGCGAAGTGTGTGTATGTCCTGATGGGTATACCGGTGAACACTGTGAAATAGGTTAGTTGAAATGAGTGAATAAGATTCTATATTTGACAGGCCCGACGATTACACTATGTAACACTGAATGACACAAAAAGTTTGTAATCTACAATTTGAAAATGTACTCGTTCCTAAAGCACATACGAATTCACAGAGAGTTAGGCCTCAAGTGCTTGTAATATTATATTACTAGACGTTTTTTTTTTATAAACTTATCAAGATAACGGATGAGTGGTCTCTGTCATATTATTAAACGCCACGATTGTACATTTCAGAAATGACATTATGTAGGCCCGGACCCTGCCAGAATGGCGGAGTATGTGTGATCTCTGGCGAGAAAGAAATATGCGTCTGCCGATCTGGTTACGAGGGGACTAACTGCGAAACATGTGAGTACTAATAGCTGATAGGTTCATCGATGCTTCGCATATTTCTATTTGTAAAGCTTTTAGTACTTAACGCACTTGAGAGAAATGAACTGGGTACACGTTACAAATATGATATGATTTAATTTATTCACAAGAATGTATAGTAAACACTCGGCTCAATCACTAGTACACACTGTCACAATGAACACGGCGATAATCGCCAAACATTTTCTTTCTCACTTGTACACTACTTCTGCTGTGATATATTGGAAACGACATGCGCAATAACCGTATTTATCTCATATATAGTAGCTCAGTGTAACACTATGTAATACAAATTCCGGTAATCAGATTGGTTCATAAACTTGGTTCATTGAACTTTTGACATCGTGACTTACGATTACAAAATATCTCGATATTGGTGGTTTTAAATTTCTTGAATTTTTTTGCCTATAGAATCTGCAAAATGGATAAACAGGGCATCAAAATCGTGACCGTACAATATCATACTTAATGAACTCTTGTAGTAATTTACCGTTAGTCCTCGCCGATAGGCTAATAAATATGTTTATTGAATATGATATTCTAGGCTAATTTATAAGATCTGCTATACACATCACCGATGTGTGTGAGTATGTCTGCACAATAAAATTCGGTCACATAAAAATATGCAAAAACACAAATGTCGTGGCAATATATTTGCATAAGTATTTTTTGGTGTTTAGTAGTTTTATTCCAATTTCACTCTGTGTTAAGCGGTAATCGCTATGCCTATCTCACTCACTATATATTCTCTCTTCTCTGCACAGTGATTACAGCTGCTGGCAACCAAATAGTGGCGTGGACAACTAGCACTCTATTCAGCGTATTGCTCACCATATGTATATCTCTTTGAAACAGTATTAACTTTTTATTTTGCATAAAAAACAATTAAGTTAACTTAAATCAAATTTCAAACAAGTTACTTTTAAAATGTGCATTATATAAAACAGATGATTAGCTTAGTCTCAAAATGTTCGTCTCTTTGTTAGATTTAACTGATCCAATTAACACTTTCCCGATTACATAAACCAGTTACACCTGTATTATGTTGGAATTTAGTTCAGCTTGATACAATCTATTATATATGCATCTGTAATATATTTTTATATTTACATTTTTGAATTCAACTATGCAATACATTTCTTCACCTTCTATGACAATATGAGGTTATTATGAGAATAGCTCAAAGTATGCACACAAACAGTATAGCTGGAGTATCAACCGATGCGCGGCGTATTGTCTGAGTGCATACTTTGAGCTATTCTCGTAATAACCTTATTATCATACATCATACATACATCATGGGAATGCCGAAATACCCCGTAAAATACCGCAAAATTACGACACGCTGTATCTTATGCCATTACGGTGATAGATGTATAATATTTAACAATTATCAACATCTGTTATAAGCTATAGATGAACAAATATTTAAAAAATCAAACAAACAAACTATAATTAAATTTGAGTTGTTCTCTGGAGAAACCATATATTGTTTCACTAAAAACGATTACTGCATATTACTCATACAAACTTATTTCCTTCAAGACCAAATAATGTTGGTAATATTTATTATTATCATACATCTGTCACCGTAACCTAAAGTTACAGCGTGTTGTGATTTTGCGGTATTGCACTGGGTATTTTCATTCTACCATATTAGAAAACGCGAATTCCAAATATGGAGCGAGTACGCGCGTAAGCGTCCTCTAATAATAATAAAAAAAACACATGGCTGCCCCCTTCACAGGATTGACTGGACACCTAACAGAGAAGTTCGCTAAATCTGTTCTGAACGTTTTGGATTTCGGCATTCCAATGATGTATTCCCGGGAGTTAAAGATGCTCAATAATAAGGTTATGATGAGATACTGCAAAGTATGCACTCAGGCAGTACGCGGTCGCATCGGTCGACACTATTGCTGTACTGTCTTCGTTCATATTTTGCAGTATCCTCGTAATAACCTCATAGTATACATAATTAATATCTTAAGGTATTTACATCTCGTTTACTCGTTTTAAAATATCAGTACTGCTTTGAGTAATATCAGTTGCTTCGAGCTTACGAATAATGTATACCTAATTATTTAAGAGTTATATCACCAATGGAACACATGATAAAATTACCCGAATTTGTCACTTATGTTTGCTTGCATATGCATCTTTCCCATGTGCTCTTCGAAATCAAATGAAGTAATCTGAATATGCCCATCTCCCACGAAACAGCGATTCATTTGTCATATTGGTCATTGCAATTATAAATTTCTAAGAATTATAATTCATAGGGGAAATGCATACGTTATCTTACGGAGGTTGAAGTAAACATGACATTTGGGTAAACGTTTGGAGTTCAATTTTTTTCATATTTTCATACTACCATGTGTATTGACAAATTGACAAACGTGTTGCCTGGATACACACTGTGGTTATATAAGCAATGTCACAAGGAATTTGAATTTGGGGTTTAAGAAAATTTGTCATGGTTACACATTACCAAAAATAAAAAAAAATCACCACACAATGACAGTAGGCAAGGAAATTATTGTTTGTTTATTGATGGTAAACACTATTAACGTTTCGTAAGGGTTTCAGCGGTAAAACACACGGTTATTTGAAATATATTCAATCAAATACCTTGTATGTGCAGTCGAATTTATGAGGCGTGATGAATTATGCTATGTAATTGCCATTCTTTGCATTATTTCTGTTTTGTGATAATGGAGCCAATCTTTTACAACAATTTTTTTTTATTGCTATCCGAATGTTAAAACTATTTATTTTATGCAGTCATGTAAGCATGACTCAGCATTTTTTAGGATTTTTAAAACTGAAATGTAAATTCATTATACATCTCGTGTTGCATACAGTTATGCAGCACGCGTGGACGTCTTTCTGTAAAACCATGGTGTGTTTATAACAAACTTATTCGATTTTTTATTTAAAATATTTTATTGTAACAGACACAAAAATAAACTTTTTTTAACAATTTAAAACACAGAGGGGTTTGCCGAGTCAGTTGTATATCTATGGTGATAATACACAGTCGCTTAAGGATGCCAAGTTTAATTATGTACGAGAAACAGCATACTCATCGATTTGTGTCCATTGATAATGTCAGAATAGTCTGATATGCTTATTATAGGAACATTTTGTTTTACGCACGCGCAGTGAGCACTTCTTGACCGTTTGTTGTACAAGCTGAAAGTTGGAACGCTGGCCCTTCACGTACACCTAGGGTACGCCTTGTACAGTAACACCTATGATGCATATGAAACATAGCGGTGAATTAAAAAAAAATACAAATAGAGTTTTGACGACTTGTGTATTCACACGATTCAAGACTATTCTGTATTTGGTTATATATAATTCTGTCAATGTTGTAAGGCAGCTAATAATATACCGTATAAC